ATGATTAAATTGCAAAAACATGGTAAAAGCAAATCTGGATAAAATTGCCTTTTAATAAACGAGGCCAAGATAAATTCATTGGGAAGAGGAATTCTAGGTTTCACTTGTTCTGGGCCAGCCCAAATACTAGGTCTTAAGTAAAAGTTATTTTAGGTAATCATCATTTTGCTGTCTTCTAACATAGTTCGTAGTAGCAGCTAAGCATTCGTATGATATTTAAGAAAAAGCATGCATACTACAACTAGAACTCATTTTATTTGGAATAAAAACCACTTTTTGGAGCCTAGTACAAGGCATGCATTCAATTATTTATTATGGGATTAATTTTAAATGTTGTTGTAACGACGGATGGTATAGCAAAAAGATTAAATTAACTTTTATAATTAAAAATGTCTAATATTTTTTTGTTACGCTTTGATAAGGAAAAGATAATAAATCTATTTGCCAATATCATCGCTCACCCGGAAATTGGACAAGGGGTCTCGGCTTTGCTACAGAAACCACTGGATGAATGGCCACTGTTTGTAGTACAAGATATTCCAGAATCACGTTTTTCAGATCGAGATAAGTCCTCAAGGTCTGTGGTCAATGCAATTGATGCCGAGATTATCTCCTCCGAGGCAAGCTCGGCTTCGAGAAGAAGATGATGCCCATTCGTAGAAGCCGACGAATTAATATGCCACATTCATAAAGCATATGTGCTTGGTGTATGAAATTTTGGCAGTAACTAAGCTTCTGGCAGACTGCCGCTATCTATTCTCTTGTCTCTGACTCACAATTAAAGGGAAGCTTTGAGATAGACAGCAAAGCGTTAACATAATCTTATAGGAGAGGGTAGCCAGCCTTGTGGGACCTTGCTTATAACAGTTAAATAAAGATGAGGAATAAGTATAACATTTTTCGAAGTGGGTTGACCTCGTTGTCGCAACTTAGTCTTGTTGTCCAGGTGACTCAGTAGAACGCACCTAGTCCGAAGTCCTCTGCCTTCTTGGTCTTCATATTTTCGATAAAAATCTTTTCTTTATAAGTAGGATCTTGAGACTATCGATAGGTAATTTATGTATGAAGTATATTCATTCTATTTCATTTAAGGTGATAATGGGACTGGTAGTTGAATATACGCGACTTGCTACAAATGTCCTTGGGTCAAAGGTAAGACACGAATTTCAAGGAAGGTTAGACATTTTCCCAGATCACATTCAATGGCAGGACTGTCTATGAAGCAAAGTAAGTTACATATGATTCGTTTATAAATAGGTTTTCGAGATTACCAGTAGGTAATTTATATATGAAGTGTATTCACCCTATTCCATTTGAGGTGATAACGGGACTATTAGTTGAATTTTTCCACGATACCATGAATATACCGTACGTTTCCATTGAATTTCACATAGCATTGATTTCTATATAGGTTATCATGTATATCATCTACGAATAGTTTCGAAAGCCTATTTCTAAGAAGAAAAATAAATAATGTCATATCAAGTAAAATTTTGCTCCATCGTTAATTTAACCACAAAATATGATATGTAAAAATACCTGGCCTCCTTTGAAATGGACATCTACCATTTGACCCTAGGGAACTCGTGATAGTGTGATATAATAGGTAACGAGTCAAGATTACATGCTATACTTTTATGGTTCGAGCCCCGCTGAGGGTGTTGATAAGACCTAGGCGAGGTCG